AAGTTTAATTCATATTGACAAAGATGACTAGAATATCTTGATTTATGGCAGAGACTAAATTTATAAATAAAATACTTTTTTTTTCTGTCTGAAAAATAGACGAGACAATCCTCTTTAATTAACATGACAACTGTAACTCCAAAGGGCCTGTGAAAGAAGCAAGCCAGCAAAACATGAATCAACAGCTCAAGCAGAAAAAAAAAATATTAGGAAAAGTCACCTTCCACTTTTTGTTTTTACAATGTTGAAATAAATTAAACTGCTCCATATAATTCTTTTATTAGTTCTTCTAATATTTCACTTGAAATAATGTTGATTACTCTTTGTTGAAACAACCAGTACATTGAGTTCCTAAATGCATGGATATTAGTGAAATCTGCATTATGTCATTGTAAGAAAGGCCAAGAAACCAGAAACATCTCAGGAGCGTGTAAAGAAAAACTCAGTGGCAAGTTGAGCAATGAAACACAGATATCTTTCATATCATGTTTCTGTGTGCTTCTTTTTGTAGTTACAAGGGTCTAAAGGCAAAGACAAGACAAACTTTATACATAAAGATAAGGGATTTTATTAGTACAACCATCTCACCTTAAAAAAATCCCATCACTATATCTCAGGTACTCAAAAACTCTGCTTTTTCAGGCTGTAGTAGTGTATTTCATAAAAGATGCTACTTTTTCCTAAAGAGACCTTTTTTGTCTGAAAATCAGACATCAAGAATCATTTCAATTTTGAAGATGTTATGGAAGACAAAATTTTCTACCAAGGGCTATGGTATAAAGATGAGATTGAAATAGTAAATGGAGAAGGAAAATTAATGGGCTAAATGTAACGTATCCATTACATGACAGCATTTTGTAAACCATACAGCCCTAAATTGTTCTATAACTCAAAATTACGTAGCTTAATATTTTATCTGTTGTTATTTTGTTTGCTGTACACAGGATAACCAGAATATATGTCAACTGAATATGAAATGTTCAAGGAATGATGCATATAGTGGCTGTATTTCCATGGTAAAGCTTTTTGCATAGAGTTAATGAAGTGCTTGGGGTCCTAGGGAATTAAAGGTGCTATATAAATGTAAGAAATTATCATTAAAAAGTTTTTCCCTCCAGGCATTTGGGATTTTGCTATGTGTTACAAGGAGGCATTTGCAGTCTTCTTTCATTCAAAATGCTTCAGCTTAAACATTTTCCAACTCTCCCTCTGCAGCTTCAGCTACAAAAACGTTTATATGAAGAAACAGTTACTAAATTGGTTCCAGTTAATCATACTTTGCTGCTAACTTGAAAGAACCTGCCTTGGTTTAAGCTTTTTATAGCCATGTTGAAGATCAGGAGGAACTAGGAGCATCATTCTCTCAAGAGATTTTCAAATGCTGTTTTAACCATTATTAGGCTTTGTCTGCATTGGTGGAGAAATAATCCAGGCCACAGCCAGAATTCCTGCAAACAGCAAGCCAGCTGTGCAGGATCTGGCTTGATTTTCAAGGATCCTATTGTGTTGTTCTCTGCTGGCCATTACATGTTCCTTTACTGACATTAGAATGCTTCACTGGTCCTAAAGTTTCTATTTTGTGCAGACATGCAATCCCAATTTTGTGTCATTTGGTGTCTGTTTCTCAAGTCTTCTTAATCCATCAGGCAACCTTTAAGATCATCTACTACTTTTAACATACTAAAATGGCAACAGAAGTGGAATTAGAAATCAAAAAAGACTTCTGACCCCACTGGACATAACCTTTTACCACACTGCCATTTTAATGAAATACTGAATTTATGTTCTTTATTCATTCACACCAAATGTGGATTTTTTGATCCACAGATTGTGTGAATCGTAAGCGTTTTTAAGAATCCACTAGTGCTAATGGAATTGGGCCTCTTAGTTCAAGTATTGAGAGATTAAAGAATTGCTAGATATCTTTAAACTATTAATAAGTTGTGGGATTTGGCAGCATTAGAACTGAAGTTCAGGTTTTGTTAAGCTAAGCATTTTACTTGTTCACAAATAGATGTGAAATCTAATAAAACATTTCATCTTCTATAAGTTAATACTTTTATGGAATTTGGGGATTTCCTTCAGTTATTAATTGCAGAATTGAAGCAAGAATTGCTGTTCCTTAAATCTTACCTTCTATTAGGCAACATATATTTAAATTAAATAAGTGTGATGACCTTAAAATGATTGTTTGCAATAAAATATATGATTTTCAGCGAGAAGCATAGGGATAGTATTAATATTTGCTTTTCACATTTTTATTGTTTGTATTTTGGTTAATGTGGAGCACATATCATGTAAGAATCTTAGAAGGAATCTGTGGATTGCACAAGATGATAATGTTTCTTTTGTTTAAGAGCAGTGGAAAAACTGTCCTTACAAGCTCCAAAATAATTAGAACTCAATTTTATAAATGTATATTTTCAGAAAACAAGCTTAATTCTCAGAAGAATAATATTAGCACTCATTAGGGGACTGAATGCTTTGGGGTACTGTTAATGAAATTCATAGTCTTTTGCCTGTGGGCTATCAGTTTGAATTCAGTCTGACTCAGTGGAGATTGAAAATTGGCCTATTTAATGGCCTTTTAGTCATCTCTAATGAGTTGAGTTTGGTGGGTCTCAGTCCTGCAACATAAACCACTCACACTGCCTTCTCCTAACTGGCAAGCTCCAGAGAAACCCCTGAATTTAATGGATTTGGGGGAAAATAAGCCTCTGGTACCATGGAGAAAAAGCAAAGAAAAGCAAAAGCTGTGATAGACAATGGTTACATGAGCACTAACACACACATTGTTTTTAAATGTGGAATTTATAATGATACATAAAGTTTATAAATTAGCAAATTAGCTGAGCATGTGACATATGTTGCCACACAACTATTCTGATTGTAACATGACAAAGACTCCCAAAGGGGATATCTACACCTGTGCATAAGATCATGACAACACATTAAATGTTTAAATGCCTCTGGGATTCACTTTTGTCAGGGAAAAATAGGATCAGAACAGATATCTGGATAGTAACTGCAGCTACAGAAAATTATGCTGAAAGCAATTATAACCTAGTGTGCCTCCATTACTTCACAGCAGTCAAATTCTTCTATATTTTCCTTATAGATAATTAAATTAATATTAAAAAAATACAAATACCATTTCCAGGATCCTGTAGATATGCCAGTTTTACTTATCCATATTGCAATAGAACTCTTCCTAATTTCTAACTGAAATTTCTCAGTACAGTTTAAAGCTGTTACGTTTAGCCTTGTGCAACAATGGATTTTTCTCCCCGTGGTCTTTTATTCTCTAGACTAAAAAATCCCACACATTCCTAGTTTCAATTAGGGTCACATCTTTTAAAATAGTGACTTTTTCACCCTTCCTTCCTTGTACTGTCTTCTACTAGGAGTTTTTGAAAGAAATTTTTCTTGAAATGCAGAGGCCAAATCTGAACACACAGATGAGGCTTCATCAGTAGTAAAGATGAGGAATTCTTCCTATGTCCTAGATATGACAGTTCTGTTTACGCATCTCTCTGTACTGCAGCTTTTTTCACAACGCTGTGACATTGTTGATGCATGTTCAGTTTGTGATTTACTCTGATCCCCAGCCCCTTTTCTGTAAACCTGGTGTTTATTCATCTGTTCCCAGTCTTGCAATTGTGCAATTGTTATTTTCCTGCTTAAATGTTGAAGTTGGCACTTGTATTTATTCAATTGCATCATATTCTGCAACTCTTTTTTCAGGAAAGTTTTGAATTCTTTTCTTGTGCTGTAACATGCTTCCAGCTCTGCCAGTTTGGCATTGTTGGCAAATCCAATCCATGTAAACTGTATTCTGTCACATGCATAATTAGACTTGGGACCACAGGCATGACATACCCACCTCCAGGGAACCGCACTTGCTGTCCTGCTATTTGTCACAGTGAAACGTCGCTGATGTAATTTTGCACCACTGCAGTCAGTTCATTATGTTATGTCTTTTGCTTGCTCAATGAAGACTTCTCTGAGATGGTGTCAAAAACCTGACTTAAGCCATAACCGATCGGGCACTACTCACATCCAAAGCCTGTTATTCTGTCACAGCTTGGGACGAGTTTGGCTCGATGTGATTTTTTTGACGAATCTATGTTGGCTGTAGCTTACCACTTCATTAGATATCATGTACCTAAAGATGTGTGATTATTTGCTTCAGTACTTTTCTGGGAATAGAGGCGGGAATGATTGACAGTGCTTGGCTCTACCTATTCCCCTCTTTTGAATTATATGCGCCGTGTTTTTCCTCTTCCTCTCTCCCGACATCTGTCGTGTCCCTGAGCACACTGACCACCGCTCACACCTCTCATGTTGCCTTTATCAGCTTCTCACTCGAGTGTGAAATCCCCCGGGCCCGGCAAGTCTGAAGGGAAAAAATTAACTCATCTAAGCAGTCTCTATGCACTTAACATTCTCCCCTGACTCCGGGAGAATTCCCTCTGTGAGCCGGGGCTCACTTCAGCAGCCTTAGTCTGAGGAGAGAATGGCACCGAACGAGTCTTTTTGTCACCTCATGGGTTCTCGCTCCCCGGGCAGTGCCCGCTGCGCTCAGGTTCCCCGAGGCCGAGCCCAAGTCGGGCTCTGCCTCCCCGCTGCCTCGGGAGCGCCCCGCGCACATCCTGCCGCACCTGACCCGCTTTCCCAGGCCTGTGCGAAGGGCAGCCCGCAGGGCGGACGGCGGCCGCGCTGGCAGCCGACGCTGTGCGCCCGTCCCGTTTGGGGAGCAGCCCCGGGGGGACATTCCCTCTGAGCCTTAGGGGGACGGGCATTCTCTCCGAGCGGGCGGGGCCGCTCCCGGCACCGGGCACGGCGGGGGCGCGCTCCCGGCGGGGGCAGGCAGGGGATGCCGTGCGCGTGCGCCCTTTACCACGGCGGGGCGCGTGCGCGCGTGTGTGCGTGTGCGTGCAGCCGCTCGCGGAGCGGCGGGGCGGTCGGGAGGCTTGCGCGATGACGTCACGACGGCGCGCGCAGGACGTAACCCCGGCGTGACGCACAGCCCGGCGAGCCCGTGAGTTTCCCGTTACGATTTAGTTTTTTGTATCGCGCCCCCGCCACCCCCGCCCGGCCGCGGAGTGAAGGGGGAGAGCGGGAGGCGCAGGGCCCCGCGGGCCGGGGGACGCGGGCCGGGGCCGAGCGGAGCCCACCCGATCCGGGCCGGGCCGGCCGCCCGCCCTAGCGGCGGGTGGCGGAGCGGGCGGCTCTGCCCCATCCTGCCGCATCGGGAACATGGCGGCCGCCTCCGACCTGGTGCGGCACCGCGGCTCGGCCGCAGCTGCCCGCGCCGCGGTAAGTGGCCGGGCCGGGGCGGCGGTGGCGTGGCGGAGGCCGAGCGGCCGCGGCAGGCGCCGACCTCCTCGGCCCTTCCTTCTCCAGCCCGCCTTGTGGCCTCTCTCCGCCCCGACAAGCGCCCCTCGCCACCTCCCCGAGCCGACGAGCGGCGTTCCCGGTGCCCCGGCCGGGCGGGACACAAAGGGCTGTGTCGAGGAGGGTTTTGTTCGGTCACATGAAGCGGCGCAGCCAGTGAGCGCGGAGAGGGGAGGGGGAGCCGGGCCGCCGCCATTGCCAGGCGCGGAGGAGCTGGGCAGCCCGGGGCCGCCGCTCGGGGCCTGGGGCCGGGCCGGCGGCAGCGGGAGCCAGGTAATGCCCCGCGGGCGGGGGCGGCCGGCCGGGACAGCGCCGACGCTCGAGGGTGGCCGGGGTCACTCTGGGGGCCCGCAGGCGTCCGTGCCCTGCCGCCGCCCGCCCCGGCGGGTCCCGCAGGGCCGCTTGTGCTCCGCCGCGCGTCTCTCGGTGCGGGTCCCGCCCGCGCTGCCCCCCTCTGCTGGCGGCCCGCCCGGGAAAGGTTGCGCTGCCGTCCTGGGACAGGGGGAGCGTGCGCTCCTCACCGTCCCCTTCGCTCTCTTCCCTTCTTGGCGTGGAGCGGGCAGGCTCTGAAACGCCCGGTGTCGGTACGAAGGGCTGGCGAGTCCCCGGCCCGCCGCCGTGTGCCCTCCGGGAGCGGGGGTAGAGCACCCGGCGCAGAGATGGTTTGCAACAGCGAGGGAAAAGTTACCAGTTCGGGTACCAAAGCCGTGTGTTCGGGCTCCCAACAGCTTCAGGAGCTGGTGGTTTCTCTGACAAAGTTTGTGTTACCAGTTTGTAGTGATGAGCATCATCTTGACAAATGGAACGGGTGTGAAATGTAGAAAGTTTTATTTCTTCTTATGGCTTATGTGTAACCTTCAGTCTGTTGGCAGTACCTCTGTCGTGGTCGTGTGGTCTGTAAACTGACAAGTCAAGTGGTCATGGAAAACCAGTATGATACATCAAAATAGGCTTCCATCAGTGCTGTACAGCTGTAGCCCTTTTAGCAAAACCTCATTTGCAGTGGTATTCTGATTCCTGCCTCCCTTTCCAGTGCATAATTTAATTATGAAGATTGTGTCATGGAACTTTACTTTTCATATGAAGAATGAATGTGTACCAGATTTGAGAGTGAGAAGTCATTTCATCTTGTATAGAGTAATGGATTAACATATTAATTACTTGACAGGGTTTTTAATACAAGTTGCAACATAATTTTTGATTCAAAACATCAAACAAATTTTAAAGAGAAGATTCTTCATAGTGGACAGCCAAGTGCTTCAGAGTTTTGGTAACTTCATGTGATTCTTCTATGTAGAATTCTGTACTACCTGACTTGTGCAAGGTTGATGATTTGAGGACAGAATAAATTGACTGATTAGACAATGCAGGATAAATCTGGGGAAGGTTTTAGTGGGTCACTTAGGTGCAGAGAAAATGCAGCAGTTTTCTTATTGGAGAGGAGTTTAAGCAGGGTGCATCAAAGAGCAGTGCAGTGTGACAATCCTGTTACACTGACTTGGAGTCAGAGCTGATGTTGCAAACCTGCTTAAAGTAACTGCAGAGGAATATGGTGCAGAGTTATACAGGAAATACAGTGAGAATTGAAATTAATAATCTTCATAATATCTTCTTGGAATAGTTTCTTCTGATGTCTAATATTCATTCCTACAGATTTAATTATTAATAAAAAGACCTATCCAAGGAAGAGAAATTTTGTACAGGAAAACACCCATAATGTCACTAAAGAGACTTGACTTGTCTTTTTATACATTTTTTTTCTTTTGTTCAGTCTGCATGATTTTTTTTTAAATTTAAAAAAAGGCTCTGGGCAAATATCACTGTAAAAAAAATCCCCCAAAACCTACCAAACAACCGAGGTGTACTACTCTGACCTTTTTTTTTTTTGAGTCCAGTGTCTCATTTATGCTTAGTAGCACTAGGAGGAGTATGCCTAGGAAAGTATGAAAGTTCTTAATGCAAAAAGGTAGTTGAACTCTCAACAGGTGACCTGGCTAGTAGGAGAAAAAGGCACTGACCACTTGGGGCATCTTTGTGATGTTATTTAATGCAGAAAAGGTTGACTGAAGTAGGAGCATCAGCAGCTGAATAAACATTACATTAAACAAGAATGGCATTGCCTTTGACTTAAACTGAGTTTCATATGGACACTGAAGTCAAGGGTTATTAATGAAGTTTTTTGAGCAGTAGTTTGTGCTTAAGCTTGCAAGTATTAGCACAGCCTACCTGTGTGTATACTTTTTAAATTCATGCCTTTTCAAGTCATTTATGGTGTAAATGGAACTAAAAAATGAATAAAATTCTCAATAGTAATAAAGCACACACAAGTTCACGCACAGTTATAAGTTTCAAACTCCTTCAGGTTTTTAAAAGCTCTGAGAACTTAAAACTGGAGAAAGTACAGAGTGGTCATGTCACTTGCTCAGCAGCTTCACCTGAAGTTGGTTTGAATTAAAGGTTTTTGAACAGCTGCTGATTCACTGTCCTCATATTTTTTACATTTTCAAGCAACTTTTTATCTTTAGCGAAGTCCAAGTGATGTGGCTGTCAGGGGGCTGCCTTAAGATACTTGTTTTATGCCCTTATTCTTTTAGTTCCAAATGCATTGCTCCAGTGTTAGTTACTACAAGACACATTCAATTAGTTTCCTTTGTGCTCTGGATTGCACAGCATTTTGTATTATGTATTCAGAGATTGGGAAAATGACAATAAAATTAAACAATGTTGCACTCATTTAAATTGATTTTGAGACTGAGTAAACTTGGCATAACCTCCAAAACCGGATTTGTTCAGATGAAAATAATGTCCACCCTGCTTCAGAGTGTAAAGGAATCCCTGGTGAAATGAATCAAAACCAGTTTGTCTTCTCTGAAAATGTATTTGTTTGTTTCCTTGAGCACTCTGCCTATAAGCCAAATCTATAATCTGATTTTTGTTAATTAATTAATTGACTTTTCCTTGCTGCAGTTTTACCAAGGTAGATGTAAATTTCATATTGGCACTGCATAAAGAGCTTAAGTTACCTGTGGAAATTGTGGTTGTTGGTCACTCTGGCTGATAAAGATACTGTCAGAATGAGTTAAAGGATTTCCTAAGTTTATAGTATCATGAAAAAGTATTCTTTTTATGCCTAATCAAAAAAAAAAATCCCAAAAAACCCAGACAGCTCACATAAGCGTTAAAGCCTGTATACATCGTGTCCCTTAGGTCAATTAATAAGAACCTTTTGTGCAAGCAGTGATAGCCCACATTGTTCACAGAATTGTAGAAAAGCTCTTGGATAGCAAGGATGTGAAATGGCCATGTAAGACCAGATGCAAATACTGTGCACCTCTGTAGTGCAGTCATCCTATGGGATGTAATTTGATGCTCAAATCACAAGTTTACCATCAAGAAAGAGCATGTAATGAGTTTGCATAAACTTCTGATATGCATTGTTTTCAAGATTTGAAAAAGCACAATAGGCTCTGTTACTTACCTAGTCTGCAGTTCAGTGTCATGTAGTGAATATTTCATCTTGGTACAAAGTCTACCCAGAATCTATAGGATTTAGTGGTAGAGGAAGAGGAGAGCAAGCTTTTTAAAATCAAATATATTGTATAATAATTTCATATAAAATCATTTATTTTAAATCCAGTTGTGCTGCCTTCCTGTCACTGTTCAGCTGTACTCAGCAGCTGTTAGGTTCACAAAAGCCAGGCCCTTCCATTGCCAGTGAGGTTAAATGGGGGAAGACAGTGGCTAAACAGCGTGTGTGTGTGTTCTGGTTGCACTAAATGTTAACTGACATAACAGTTCTGGGCAAACCTGGATTGCAGAGGACTCTCACTCCAGGAGAAGTAATTGTAATGCTCTTGGAATGGGCACTGATGGTTCATACTAAATCCAGATACTGGAAATGGAATTCTCTAGCTGATCTTTATTGATTGATATTGAGTGCTTTGTCTTACAAATAATTAACTAGTTTAAGGATGATGGGCTGTTTAGTAATTCAGTGTTTCTTGAAACTTAATCCAGTTTATGTGAAGTTCATGCTTAAATCAGAATAAAGGTCAGATGGCTGGGTTTAGGAATATTTCAGGCCCCTTGTTAGTGTGTTGTAACTTTTCATACTTAATTGGATTTTTTTTTTCTTCATAAAGGGACACTATTTTGGAACTATTTGAATGCTTGTATTTTTTGCTTGCCTTAAATGGCTACTTGGTAACATTCATTTTTACAAAGCAGTAGAACAGGAGAGGGTGCATTTTGGGGAACAGGATGGGAGGAATTGCAGGTGCCTTATTGATTGGTCCAATTGTAGCTGAAGTCATTAATCGAGATCATTGTACCTTCCCTGTTCTCTGGACCAACTGTTGCACTCATTTGTAAAAATACTTTTCACAGCAAAGTATCTCTTGTGTAATTTACCTTTATTTACAGCCTTTCACCTGATGCATCCATTTTTAGTTTGAGTGAAAGACAAGGAATTCCTTAGCAAATGTAATCATTGACATGTAGTAATGAGTCCCTTCTGCCTGCTTTTTCACAGAATAATATTTTAGTACACTGATGGCATTGGATTGTGCTTTATCCCATCTACTTTCCCAGCGTGGCTCTTTGGTAGGGACAGGGCTGAGTTTTCCAGAAAAGGCATACAGCAGG